AGACTCTTGTCTGTCTACACCCCAGAAAATAAAACATGATTTTTTTTTTAATTTTTTTTCAACGTTTTTTATTTATTTTTGGGACAGAGAGAGACAGAGCATGAACGGGGGAGGGGCAGAGAGAGAGGGAGACACAGAATCGGAAACAGGCTCCAGGCTCCGAGCCATCAGCCCAGAGCCCGACGCGGGGCTCGAACTCACGGACCGCGAGATCGTGACCTGGCTGAAGTTGGACGCTCAACCGACTGCGCCACCCAGGCGCCCCGACATGATTTTTTTTTTTACTGGTCTCCCCACTGAAGTGAGGAAACTCCATTCCATGAGAATGGTCATTAATACAGAACATTGACATAGTCTATCTGAGATTATTTCCTCCACCGTTGAATTTTTTATGTGTATTTATTTATTTTTGAGAGAGAGCAGGGAAGGCGCAGAGAGAGAGGGAGACAGAGAACCCCAAGCAGGCTCTGCACCGCAGCTCAAACTCACAAACTGTGAGATCATGACCTGAGCCGAAATCAAGAGTCAGATGCTCAACTGACTGAGCCACCCAGGCACTCCTCCACCATTGAGTTTTAATGTACCCACATGGTAACCAGTACATCCCAGGTCACCTCTGTCTGTCATCTGACCAGTTTCTTTCTTTCCTTCTTTCTTCCTTCCTTTCTTTCTAGATTTTACTTTCCTTTTTTTTAAGTTTATGTTTTAAGTTTATTAATTTTTTGAGGGGAGAAAGGGCAGAGAGAGGGAAAGAGAGAGAATTCCAAGCAGGCTCTGCACTTTCAGCATGGAGCCCGATGTGGGCTCAAGCTCACAAACCGTGAGATCACGACCTCAGACGAAACCAAGAGCCAGATGCTTAACCGACCGAGCCACCCAGGCACCCCTAAAGATTTTATTTTTAAGTAACCTCTGCACCCAAAGTGGGACTCAAACTCACAACCCCAAGATCAACAGTCATATGTTCCACCACCTGAGCCAGCCAGGTGCCCCTCTGATCAGATTCTCAGGGAATGAAAACTTGTTCTATATCAGCCTGGGTGAAATATTAAGGGAAGTCAATATCAACTCATTCTGAAATGAATCATAAGTAGGCTTTTTAAAGTAACTGCTCTTTTGGAAAATTTATATTATATTCCTACCTCATTAACTCCCCAGAACACTGGGAGCTGTGTTTTGGGGAAGTAACACCAACCACCAAAAGGATATTTTCAAATCCTACGACCCCAGTAGTTTGCCTTTCCGAAAAGGCAAAATTAAAAGCAATTAGAGGAAGTGGTAAGGTGGCTGGGAGCTCTGCCTCTCGAAAAACAGTCTTGCGCATAGTAGAATATTCAAATATTTATTCAATAGATGGATGAGTAGAATCCCAGATGGAATATGATAAGACAGAGAGCAAAGTTGATATCCTATTTCTCCAGATACAGGGGGTTCCTTGGAATCCCTTGCTTTCCTATTGAAATTTCTAAAGGGAGCCAAAGAGGATGGGCTATCCCTTGAGCAGTGGGACGTGTACTTGCATTTCTCCCCCCTCCCAGTGGCAGATGACATCAAAGACTGAAAGTTCTGAAATTGTGCCTAGTGACCTACGTGCTAGAAACACAGTTGATCTGAATGAAGAAAATCCTTCTGGAGAACTGGGAGATTCTGATTATAATGTTTATTGATGACAGTAAACAATATGATACTTGGATTGAAGCGAGTGATAGGCTTGGCATGTGTTTATATTGTACTCCCCTCCCTTGAGTGAAAGCATGAAAAGCAAAATAAGTGAGTGGTTCAAGATAAAGTGACAGAAGAAACCCAGAATTCTGACTTCCTAAGAAATGTTCTCAACCGATCTTTAGCTAACAATGTTAACAAAACTTCTCGGTCACTCCGAGAATTAACTGTCCATAGCTTTCACATAGTGGTTAAGAACATTATAGCACCTGAATTTACATCTTCCTTCCACCTTTTTTCCTTACCTATAAAAAGGGGGTAATTAAATACCCAAATCACAGAATTGTTAATTCATTAAATGAGTTAATGCATGTTTCCACTCTGGTTAGTTATGGCCCTTGCTTCCAAGCTTTGTGATAGGCCTGGAAGGTATAAACAGAGCCTAGCAGAATCCTGATAAGTGTAACGGCTCTTTGTTCTGGACACAGATCACGTCCCTGCCCCCAGTGTCCATCCCAGTGCAGTGTCACTAAAGCGAGGCTATGAAACACTATGTCCCTAACCTAGATATTAACTAGAGATCCTCAGGAAGCCCTGTATGTTAGCTGTCTTCCCCTAGGGAGCAGTTTTCACCTCTGTTGAAGCTAAGATCCCCGGAATGCGGGTAACTTCCAAGCCCACACGTGACCCTTTATTTCTGTGCTGCACAACTTTCTTCTACGAGCTGTTCTTTCTCATTTGTCCTTCCGCTCATCCCTGCTGCTGAGGACAAAGGCCTTTTCCTTTACCTTTTTCTGCCCTGCCTCAAATTCCTTATTTCTAAAGGTATGTTTGGGAGGAGATATTGCTCATCTGGCTCAGCCAGAAAGGAAGCCCATGTATCCTGCTGTTCAAGCCCAGTCTAGAGTTAATCCCTTGCCTCTTCTTGCTCCCCTTTCACCCCAGCTGGCTAAATCAAGCAATAATCCTAAAAGGGAATTTCAGGCTATTTGTAACTTCCCCTCTCCGCTCCCCCCCCCCCCCCCCCCCCCCTCCCCACCATGCCACATTCAGGGAGGAGAAGGCAAAGCCCCTGGATCAGAGTAATCTGTTTCTAACCCACTTCCATTCTCAGGGATTACCTCTGCAGGAGGAGGGAGACAGAAATAAATCTAACACCTTAGCATTGGGAACTTGGGGAAGACACTCCAGAAGGGCTTGGATGGCTGCAGGCATGGGGCTCAGGAGCTTGGGAGCCTGTTTTCAAATGCTGGGCACCCTAGGAAAGTCCACAAACCTGAAAAGCAATGCCTGGAGTAATGTTTGGCAATAACAGGCACTCTATAAATGTGCTGAACAGGGGCGCCTGGGTGGCGCAGTCGGTTAAGCGTCCGACTTCAGCCAGGTCACGATCTCGCGGTCCGTGAGTTCGAGCCCCGCGTCGGGCTCTGGGCTGATGGCTCAGAGCCTGGAGCCTGTTTCCGATTCTGTGTCTCTCTCTCTCTCTGCCCCTCCCCCGTTCATGCTCTGTCTCTCTCTGTCCCAAAAATAAATAAAAACATTGAAAAAAAATTAAAAAAAA